ATTTCCATTCCAGTTTCTGTTAAGGGGGCAACAGGACTATGTATTCTCAGTGTGTGCGGAGACTGTTATCAGGACTGTACATTTCTTACTGTATGTTCTGGCTATATTCTTGATATATTCAGGCTATGTTCAAGTTCAAGTCTTTATTCAATTTTTGGGGGACAAGTGTGTGTGTGTGTGTGTGTGTGTGTGTGTGTGTGAGAGAGAGAGAGAGAGAGAGAGGAGAGAGAGAGAGAGAGACCAGTCCTTATTTTAGCCCCTTAATGCCGAGTGCCATACAGGGTAACAACAAGTACCATCTTTAAACGTCTTTTGGTATTACGCGGCCGGGGATCGAATCTCAGACCTTCCGTTCTCCGGGCGGACGCTCTACCACTAGACCACGGAGGCGGTCTAATATCACCATATCAGTGGTCATGTTTATATACTACTCAAAAGAAGTTAAGAACCATTCGGTTCTTTCACATTACTAAAGTTGATTTGTCATGGCAAGACATATTAACAATATAGTAAAATGAAAGATTCGGATGGTTCTTAAATTCGTTTGAGCAGTATAGAAACCACCCTCAGTCACACACTATGGCAATGGTCTGTTTTTATTCATTCTCCGGGTTAGTGTTTCGATGATTAAAAGGAGCAAGTCTGAATGTTGGTTGTATTCCACATTCTTTGAAATCAACATGAGGGTAAGCTATTGTGACATTCTAGTTATAATATACAGTGCAATTCATAGAGGATAACATGGACAATAAATTAGTCAAGGGAAGTGGTTACAAATATCCCAGAAGGGTTTTCAGCCGGGAGACCATTTGAATGACATAACTGTGTTGGGTCAGATTTATACTGCAATGATTGCGAAACATAACTTAAATATAATGCGACGAGTGTGTTAAATATAACGTGTTGAATGTGATGCTCAAGCTCAATATTATGCGATGACGATGAGGTACAAGTTAAATATAATGCGTTGAATGTGATGCACAAGCTAAATATTATGCGATGACCGTGATGTACAAGTTAAATATAATGCGTTGAATGTGATACACAAGCTAAAAATTATGCGATGACCGTGATGTACAAATTAAATATAATGCGTTGAATGTGATACACAAGCTAAATATTACGCAATGACCGTGATGTACAAGTTAAATCAATATAATGCGTTGAATGTGATACACAAGTTAAATATTATGCGATGACCGTGATGTACAAGTTAAATATAATGCATTGAATGTGATACACAAGCTAAATATGATACGATTAACTACCCCTGTGATGAAATATACTGCGATCAGTTGGATGCACAAGCTGTACATTATACGATGGATGAGTTAAGACATATAACTTGTGGGGAGTATCACAAAATGAGATGTTGCCATTCATTCGTCCTATGATCCAGATACAGTTCGCAACTTATCTTGATGGCGGTTACCGTTGGTGGTCCTATCACATTGAGACCATATATGTTTCCACACAACGACAATTCCACTGTGTGTACCCGGGAATCTTGAAGGCATTGCATACGTATATTTTGTGCACATACCATAAACTCCTCATCAACGGATAGGCGTTACCATGACAACTGTTAACAGTGATCATCAGTGTCTGGAAAAGCCAGGGTATAAACTGGTATAAACAACATGGGCGTGGTCTGACTGTCGGACGGGATCAGAGAGTTTCAGGAAGCTGTATTTACGGTGCCGACTGATTCCATGTTTTTTCAAGTGATCGGATTCTTGGCTTCAATGAGCCAGGCACTGCTTTGATAATGGTGGTCCACGTAATACCGTGGAACTTAATAACCTGAACATGTGCTATGGGCCTATCGGTGTCACCTTAAGACTAAGGGTGAAGATATGGTCATTATTGTAACCTTTGCACATGCGTCATCACACTGGTCCCGCTAGTCCTGCACCAAGACTGTGAAATTTATATTTTTTCGGTACTTTTTGTTACTAAAAGCCAAGGCAAATCTAGTTCAAACTAACCAAGTCTAGTTTGCTTGATTCCACAGCAGAAGAGGAAATGTTCTTTCGAAAAAATGGTTTTATTATTTTAAAGACATGTTTTCACTGACTAAGTGTAAGTCTATGGTCCCGAGTATCTATATTGGTATTGTTCAGATTCTTCACGGTTAAGTATGGAAGCGTACAAGTCCATTCGTGACCAGCTCGTGTTTTTCCGGGACAAGCTTTCTTCTTGCAGGTTACGGAAAGGGGCGAGTGGTGACGAATGGTACAAGTCTTGCATAGTATTCAGTCCCTCCTCTCAGGTGTCGTTAGAACGGGATTCTATACTAGATAAACTCAACTTATGCCCTCTGTCAACTGTTAAGCCAGTTATGCGAGATGAAATGTCGATATAACCTCGCGTTTAAGATTATTGCACTTCTATAGCGACGTATAAATAGTGTGTGTCCGCCATAGCGTTATGCCAACTTTCATCTTAAACGATTGGGCGGCACGGGTGGCCCAGTCGTCTAAGGCGCCGCGATTCGCTGTGCAGAGTTGCGTCCCTTTGGCACGCCAGAAACCTATGATTGTGGGTTCGAATCCCGGTTCTCCCCAATTATGTTTCTAGGTTTGTCAGCACCATACCCGTGCTCGTGGGTTTCACCGAAGTGGTACACGTCTGAGACCTGCATCACTTCGGGCTTTCCTCCCACATTAAGCTGACACGCCGTGATATAACTAGAATAATGTTAAAAGCGGTGTTAAACCCAACTCACTCACTCACTCAATCACTTAAACGATTGTGTTGGAAATAGAGCCTGGAACAAAGATGACACATTCATGGTTAAACTTTCGTAATTATTATTTCTGTATAAACGAATCGTACAATGTAGATTTTGCTAACAACGAACCGGTTTGACTGGGATGTTAGAAACAATATAATTTTAATGTGTCATGTGTTAGTGATATTTCACATTTATTTTAGTTTATCGTACAATAAAACACTGCAGGGAGAAACATGAAGGGCGCAAGTCAACTCAACAGTATGTACAGCCTCTTTTAGCATGATGATAAAATATTCAAGCTTTAAAAATCGTTACCCGTATTTTAATAATGATAACTCCCTCAATAAAGTTCATTTCATGCACAGGTGTGTTTTTCCCGCATATTCTCACAGTCCTCACGTCAAATACCAGTATTTTTTCTCTGAATACCGATTGTCATATCTCATCGCCTTTATCTGCGTTGCCCAGTTACAACTAAGGGGAACCACTCACAAGACAACCCCCTCTAAAAATAACGTCGTCCAATATACGACGTCATCAAGTTGCGAGCGCATTTTCAAATCTGATAGAACCGTGTTTTATCGTGAAATATACCACATTTCCTTCTTCATTGTTCTTTGCGATTTATCGCGTAGCTATCTTATGTTAGGAAATTGACACCATGTGGTATATGGTCTTCCTTCTCACAAGAGATTCCAGACAATCTTTTAATCCTCACTTTTGAGGGAAAACATTTCAAAGACATGTATATCCTTGAGATCCTTAAAGATATGAAGTGTAGCACATTTCTTGCATTTTGCCTTGGACTGTAATATATATGTTCTAGGTCTTTTTTATGACTAGGTATGTGTTTTCGCTTTAATATGAGGTCCGACCCGTGAAGATCCGGGGTAGAATAGGTCTTCAGTGACCCATGCTTGCCGTAAAAGGCGACTGTGCTTGTCGAAAGAGGCGACTAACGGGATCGGGTGGTCAGGCTCGCTGACTTGGTTGATGCATGTCATCGACCCCAATTGCGTGGATAGAGGTTTATGATATCAATCACTGGATTGTCTGGTCCAGACTCGATTATTTACAGACTGCCGTCATATAGCTGGAATATTGCTGAGTGCGGCGTTAAACAACAAACCAACAACCAACCATCTAATATGAGGACAAATGTTTTCGTGTAATATGGCAATTTCAAATTTCATTGCACAAAACGTAAATGATCAACAGGTGGAACGAGTTATCGTAGCATCTCGTGCACCCATATCACGCTGACAGGAGATAGCGACCTAGACGCGCACCACCTTGACCTGACAGGGTCAAAGGGTAAAATCTCACGCGCACAGGAACAAGGTCATCAAGAATTATAGGGGATTGTCAGCTATCTTTGTTGATTAGGAACCTTTTTAGGCACACACATAGATAAGTCAGCACCTATATCGACCTTATCTCCATTATCATTAACGGAGACTCCTCAATAACGATAAAGGAAGTGTGACGGGTTCAAGGTGTGGGGAATGTTTTGACGTGATCGTTTTGGGTGGTCAGAAATGGCTGATGGGCGCTTCATGTTTTGCACTTTGCTTTCTACCCCAATATAAAATGGGCACTTTGTGATATTGCTATTAGGTTTCAGGGCGCGTTGGCCCCTTCCGCTGTTGTCAAGATTATTGGCTTTTGACGAGCGGTTCTTGTTTCGTTAAATAGTTTTGGCTTTCGACGAGCTGTTCTTGTTTCGTTAAATAGTAAATTTCAATTTTATGCTTTAAAATACATACACCAGGGATGAAAGGGTGAATTAATGTTTTAAAATCTATATATTTCATCTTTACGTAACCTCGTGGGGATTCCGGGTTATAGTTAGTCTCAAGTAATCTATGCTTGGCGACTGACTCGGGCGGTCAGGCATGGTTGATTGAGCGTGGCATCGTACCCGGATGAAGTGGGCGTTGTTCATTATATCAAACACCGGTTTGTCGTGTCCAGACTGCTGGTGTGGCGTTAAACAACATTCATTCGCTTCACATATATTCACGCTATTTTTTGGATTATTTTGTGCTTATTAACTATGCTTTTATATTGTATAATATGACGGTGTTATATTTCAGGGTTTTTAATATATTTCCAGCGTTTACATCAACCAAATAAAAACTTTGGCTGCATGAATTCTTTTTTGCCTGATTAATATTATACTCATATATAAGTTTATACTGTATTTTTTTTCATTTCGTGTATAATTTCCATTTTTTTATCGTTACAATATCCATTTTTGCAGGGTCTTCTTCGCCATAGCCTTCACTGGAATGGCCGTTGGTCAAGCGTCCTCCTTCCTGCCCGACTACACAAAGGCCCGGCTGTCTGCCGGACTCATCTTCAAGCTGCTTGACACCATCCCCTTCATCGACGTCTACAGCAACAAAGGCATCGTCCAGGTGAGCCATAACGACAACGCGGGTATCATGACTCCTTACTGCTGAGCTAGGCTCCGTCTCTTGTATGTGGATGTGGTCACCCGCCCTTGTATTGTTTTTTGCCCGTATAAATGGTCGATAAAAATGAACGGGCGTTCCGTTATCGTTTGTATATTCTATTATTATAATAACTCTGAGAGGCATTAGTTTGTTTAAAAGTTGTTATGTCTCTATGGACAAATACCTTTTTCAGCAAAAACATGTGTACAGTGCATAATATAATGTCTGTATGACCGCTATATCAATACACAAAATAAATTCCATGGTTCTTTTGGTATGGGGGCGGTCGGGTAGCCTAGTGGTTAAAGCGTTCGCTCGTCATGCTGAATACCCGAGTTCGATTGCCGACATGGGTACAATGTGTGAAGCCCATTTGTGGTGTCCCCGCCGTGATATTGCTGGAATATTGCTAAAAGCGGCGTAAAACCATACTCACTCACTCTTTTGGTATGGGGAAATGTATGCTTTGTTTTGTTTGTTTGTTGTTTAACGCCACACTCAGCAATATTCCAGCTTTATGACGGCAGTCTGTAAATAATCAAGTCTGGACCAGACAATCCAGTAATTGACATCATGAGCATCGATCCACGCACTTGGGATCGATGACATGCATCAATCAAGTCAGCGAACCTGACCACCCGATCCCGTTAGTCGCCTCTTACGACGAGCGTACATACACTTAACGTAGTGTGACATTACTGAAAATTGTATGTGACAATCTGAGACACATGTGAATGTAAAAAACATATTTGTTGGTGAAATAAAAACATAGATGTAAAAAAAAATCATTTGTCACGAATGTTGGCATCAAAAACAGCAAGGAAAACACGTCGGTAGTGAATATAGATTGGTGTCTTTGTTTCCAGAGTAACGTGAGTGGCGAGATCACGTTAAAGAACGTCCAGTTCTCCTACCCCACGAGACCTGATGTGCAAGTGTTGCGGGGTTTGAACATCAACATCAAGCCTGGAGAAACTGCAGCGCTTGTCGGAATCAGCGGATGTGGGAAGAGCACAGTTGTCTCCCTTCTTCAGAGATATTACGACACTTCTAGTGGGGAAATTGTAAGCGTCCACACGGGTCTGGCGTTTGGGGGGATTTACGGTTTTTATTTGGACAAAATATTCCGGTCGGTTGATCGAAATATTAAAAGGAAACAGGTTCCAATATCAAATATGTTGTTTTTTCTGTTTCCTCAAAATGTTAAGTACGTTAGGAAAATATAAGTGGGGGCGGGAGTTTTTAAGATAGTTTCGACAGATGTTATTTATATAGAACGTTGAATTTTTGGGTTTGATCTTTTAAAATTTTAATTAGTTCTGGTCGGCGTAGTTATAAAACCACTGCTTTTCGTTTATTTTTATGACATCACATTTCAATTTTTCTGCTTCTCGTTTATTTTTATGTTATCACATTTCAATTTTTTTGAGTCGGCGGATCAAAGAAATCATACAAGTCAGTGGCCGCCGCCGACGGTCATAATAATAACTATGAAAATTGGACAGTTGAAGATGTGTTAATTCAAAGTACTTAACAACAATGTGTCCGCCACATTGGGGAGGATGTTTTTTGTGACCTATTTTGACATGGCTCGGAATGATACGAGTCGCCAAAAGGACTCCAAAATGGAATGAAATATTCTCATCAGAATTAATGAAAGCATTTTGTTAAATGGAGCGCAAAATACCGTCCATATGCACCAACATAGGTACCATATTATGTATATTAATATTTCATAAAATTGATTTTGAACTTATGTTTCAGCTGATTGACGGCACAAATATACGCGAGTTTAATCTCGCCACGTTGCGGTCATTCATCAGTGTCGTGAGCCAGGAACCGATTCTGTTTGACTGCAGTATTCGGGAAAACATAGCATACGGCCTTGAGCGTGACGTCAGTATGGCCGAGGTCATTCAGGTTGCCAGGACAGCCAATATACACGAGTTTATTTCTAACCTACCCCAGGTAAAACGCCAGAGAAATATATTGATTAGCTCGACAGACGGAAATCTTCACATCATAGCGTGTGTTTTCTATATTGTCACACTCAGTACATCCTCTATATCTCCAGGGCTCGCATAAATTGAGTGACCCCCCCCCCCCACACCCACACCCACACACACACACACACACACACACACACACCCACACCCCCACACCCCACCACACACACACAACCCGAGATACAGATACACCGTGTCTATGTATGAATGTAATTCATTAAAGATTCCCCAGGCTGCTAGGTCAAGATTATTATTTGGAATTGGTGTAATGTCATTTATAAGTTAATATTTAAAATATGTTTTTATTACAACTCATAACGTAACTGGTATGAATATAGACTAGGCGATTTAATTAAAGGCCATCTTGACTCTACGTCAATGCTTTTCCTTTCAGGAAATTGTGTAATATGGATATTTATCATTTATGACATATATTTAGGATTAATATGAAAATATATAGACGCCGTTAAACACCATCGATTATCCAGTGAAGCATATCTTCATTCAAGCATGAGACCCGTGAAGATCCGGGGTAGAATTAGTCTTCAGCAACCCATGCTTGCCGTAAAAGGTGACTCTGCTTGTCGCAAGAGGGACAAACGGGATGGGGTGGTCAGGCTCGGTGGCTTGGTTGATACATGACATCGTATCCAATTCACAAGGAAAATTGTTTTCTATAAAATAAATTCATAGTTTTCAATAAAAAAGACCCGGCGTCTAATAGAGGAAATACGGTACCCTCGATTATCCAGTGTATACATGTTCAAGGGCACGATTGATGTCATGTTTTTGTGCAATGTTCTTCAATGGCCCTGGTTGTACTGTTTCCAGGGGTACGAGACGACCGTTGGAGAGAAAGGCACCCAGTTGTCGGGGGGACAGAAACAGCGAGTCGCCATCGCCCGGGCACTGGTTCGCAACCCACGAATCCTCCTCCTGGATGAAGCGACGTCTGCCTTGGACACAGAGAGTGAACAGGTCCTCTATTGCGTCTACGGTCCCTTAAAACACTAACATTAGTTTCGTTAACCTCAGTTGACATTCATAATAAGACTTAAAACGCTGAAACGGTTCACTCTGCACGGCCATATCAAAACTAACCAATCCCATACGTTTAGATGTGATGGAACCATATCGCATTGAATTAGCTTATGGCTTATTTATGATTTTATTAACCCTGAATAGGACCCAAGTATAAAAAATAAATGTTCAGGACATTTTAGATGACAATCAGCGAATGTCAAAGAGTAAGTTAGTTGGGTTTAAAGCCGTTTTGAACAGTATTCCAGTTTCATCATATGTCATGCCGCTTTTGATGTGGTAGGAAAGAACGAAGTGGTGCAGGTCTTAGACATTTACCACTTTGGTATGGTGCTGATATAACTAGAAACATAATCTGGGCGAACCGGGATACGTTCACGATAACAGCATTCTGGCGTAATCAAGGGACACAACTCTTCAAGAGACTTGGCCATCCGGGCCCTCTAATGTCCCAGAAAATTACTGTATGATTTGAGTTTGAAACGTTGATGTCTGTGTCGAGACAGCCTCGTGGATACTCGTATGAGAGCAGGTCCACAATACTCTTGTTGGCGGGGCGGTCGGGTAGCCTAGTGGTTAAAGCGTTCGCTCGTCACGCCGAAGACCCGGGTTCGATTCCCGACATGGGTACAATGTGTGAAGCCCATTTCTGGTGCCCCCGCCGTTATATTGCTGGAATATTGCTAAAAGCGGCGTAAAAACATATTCACTCACTCTTGTTGGCGACAACACCCTTACATCCGGGTTATAGAATAGGTCTTCAGCAACCTATGCTTGCCGTATGAGTCGGCGAACGGGATCGGGTGGTCAGGATCGCTGACTTGGTTGATGCATGACATCGTATCCAAATTGCGTAGATCGATGCTCATGATGTCACTCAAAAGATTGTCTGGTCCAGCTTCTATTATTTACAGACCGCCGTCAAATAGCTGTAATATTGCTGTGTGCGGCGTTAACCCATCTTCCCCAGGCAAGGGCGTTGACTGACAATATAAAGGCCTATTTTCCACTGCACTTTTACAGTCAGTTTCCGCCTATGCCTCGGGGAGATGGCGTTAAACAACAAATAAACAAAACGCTTGGGCGACAAAATTAGATTGGCGGTCAGGCTCGGTGACTTGGATGGTGGCGTGTCATCGTATACCCTGTCGGCTTTTTCGTCTTGGCCAAAGCACTTAATATTCAGGGTGCCGTGGCATTGTTGGAAATCGCTGACTGTGGCGCTAATTTTCTTCATATCAGATTCTGTTCGCCAATTTGGTTTGATCATGTATTCATTTACGCATCGGCGTTGTTTTAAACGATATAAACAAAAAGACAACAAAATGTGATGTTGAAAATAAACAGCTTTTGTTATGCATTGTGACAAAAAGGACACTTTCAGGCTATTTAACTCCCAAATTGTTTATCTATTAGGTACTTGCGCAAGGTGTTTTACAAGGTGTGCTTTTGCAGTACTTCCTTACAAGTGTCAGTTTTGTTTATCATTTCTCTTCTAATGAAAACAAGCAAAAGAAGAACGAGATGCGACCATGTGCCCTGGTACCCTATTACCACAACATATATTTACCGATTGTGACCAAAAAAAAGTTAGAACCAGCCTCGATTATACAGTGTGTCATATCTTCATTTAAGATGTACAAATATTTTTTTAACAGAAGAACATGTATGCAAATTTGCGTTTGTATTGGTTGTTGATTAAAATTAATGACTTCTGTGCTACGTTAGTGATAAGAGAGGCGTGGCTGTTGACGTCTATTCCAAAACGAAGCCATGGTATATATCAATAACAATAGAATAATCGAGGGTGAATTGGACCCCAGCGTTTTGTGTCAGATGCCTAACAGAGTTGTCGCCCTTGTTTCAGGTTGTGCAGTCGGCGTTAGACAACGCAAGTGAAGGCAGGACTTGCCTCGTCATTGCTCACCGACTTTCCACCATACAAAACGCAGATGTTATTTTCATGGTTGAGAATGGATCCATCATTGAACAGGGATCACATCAAGAACTATTAGCAAAGAAAGGTGCTTACGCGACCTTAGTGGAAGGCCAGCAGTTCAACAAGTCTTGAAGAAAGTTTATTCTAGAATCCTTTGACATTTAAAAAAAAAAAAAAAAATTTGAATTACTGTTTTTGATTTCTGGAAAATATTATAAATAGATTAGATTAGATTTACTTCTTTTCTTCAAGTTATGATTACGAATAATTGAGTATTAAAAAAACATTCACCATGTACAACTGATCCCAGATGAGCTTCTTACCAATAAACTTGTTTATTTTATATTTTTTTAGTACTGCTTCTTGTAACTAGTACAGAAGGACTCTTGAATGTGTATGTGAAAAATGAGTCATTTTTATCATGTTTATACATCAGAATTTCTGAAAAAGACAAAATGTGATGTCCTGATACCAACTGATGTGTGATAAGACCTGTTTCTTGTATCTTGATGTTATTTCCAATCAACTTATGATTGATTTGTTTTATGTGATGCTAAGTGTTCATGAATATATATTTTACCTGACACTTTGTGTTCTGCTTCTATGTTTTAACAACCTTGGTTTTGATAATATGACATTGTTTCTAGTATTTCTGCAACATATAAACATGCATATGTTTAAATACACAAAAATGGTATTTGATAGTGTGCATTTGTTTAAAATAAATCTTGATATGCGTGAATGTGAAAGATAATGAAATTAATGCTTCACCCCAAGAAAGCTGAAAGCCTTCTTGTTACTTGCGGTTTATTCAGTACATTTACAACAATTATGTTATTATGGTAATATTTGAATACAATTTCCTATCTGAAACTGATTCTACAAAAACCACTAAACTTGGCATGCTACTCTGGCATAGTGTTGTCATCAGCTTTTGTCACTCGACTTCGATTTTATTTTATGTTGCCATATTAGACTCAGGTATTTGAATTTCCTTCTTGTTCATGATACGTTTCCCAGCAACTAGTGGTGTTCTGAATTATTGAAATAATTGAAGATGGATCCGAGTGGTCCAGTCGACCAAGCAATCATAGGCAATTTTCCATGACTGTACACAAACGATGTTCTGTATGGTTTATTCACTACTTACTACTAATAAAGACAGAGCGAAGCCAGTGTCTTTCCTAAAAAAATACTGAATAAATAAGTCTTGTGTCGGAAGGGGTGATAATTGGGATTGTTCACTGGCCAATGTATTAGCAAATATCGCTGTGGTCGCTTATTAGAGCGGGGCGCTTATTACGTTGAATACGGTAGGTATTAATAATATTTGGTTAGTGAATCTAACACAGTTAAGTATGTATTTTATTGCGCAAGGGGCAATTATGAACAAATGTACCAAATTCATACTTGAGTGAGTGTTGTGAGTTTGGTTTTATGCCGCTTGTAGCAAGATTCCAGCAATATCGCGGAAGGGGGACACCAGAAATGGGCTTCACACATTGTACCCATGTCGGGAATCGAACCCGGGTCTTTGGCATGAGGAGCAAATGCTTAAACCACGATGCTACCCGACCGCCCCTCATACTTTATTACAGACATTAAGGGAAATCACTCATCTTAACAGTTCTCCATAGAAGTATGACACAATTTATCTTTTGATCATAATATAACCACACATTCAGCTGTACAAAACCATTTTAATTTCTGTATGTTAGTATGCTAAATGCAGCAAATGAATAAAAACATTCTTTTTCCTATTTATGAAATGAGGTTACAATGCAATGTCATGTGTCTAAAACTTATTGTGGTGCTACTCTCATTAACTTTTGTCCTTAGCAATACTTGACCTGTTTTGGAATGGAAAAACTCACATATTCTCCATATATTTTGGAGAGTTTTGACTTTTAGTCTACGATTCTCACCTGCATATCGGTTTATTTTGGCGACAGACTTAAAAAATACCTCATACATGACAGTTGCACAGCAAAACCAACTTCACACCATTAGAGATCCTTCAGTCAAAGTGTTTGAGAGGAAATGGAGGTATATTATTTTACTGCATGATCTCATTAACATGTGATACCAGAGGGATTGCCTGCATTGTCAATACAGTGTTACAAAGCTTTTTATCATACCTGCATGTCAGACTGTTGAGATGCGATTGGTTCATGTGATCTTGATTAAGTATTATGTACCCCGCCTGGGAGAGAAATATATTTCTGAATTGGAGAAACATGCTGCAGATGGATTTCTGAGCTGATAATAAATCCCTTATACCCTGCTACAAAGCAATAAACCACATGCTGTTTTCTGGTGAATGAAAGTCACGTGACACAGCACCAATTAACCTCAGCTCAATCAAACAGCTGTTTACTATGAATATTCAATTTGTCTTAATTCTTTTCAGATAGTGGATTGAAACATATTGGCAAGACAATTGGTTGTAAATACTGCTACAATTATCTGAAATGCAGGCTTGTTGCCCTTAGAATAGCAGTTTGCTTGTAAATAGACGGCCATATTAGCTCCATAATATAACTGAACATGTCTGTGTGATATATTTTTTTGAATATATAGTCCTGTCTCATTTTATTTAACTTGATAAAATGAGACCCTTTTAAGCCATGGATCACATATGTGCATCTTATATTGAGAATAAACCTAATGTACAGTTAGCTTTTTCGTTTATTCTGTTAGTTAAATGTCAGAAACCTTTGACATTTGACATCCATGTCTTTTTTCTGTGATAGGGCAAAGCACAGCTAAAGACAATCCAATATTTGTAGAGTGATTGAGGTTTTAGGCCACTTTTAGCAATATTCTAACAATATCCCGGCAGGGGACACAAGAAATAAGCTTCACACATTGCATGTGTGGGGAATCAAACCTGGGTTTTCAGCTTGACAGGCAAATGCTTATACCACTAGGCTACCCCCTTGTTCCAATATTTGTAGAATGGGAAAATTGTTTCATTTGTGTCATGGCTGGGATACAAATTGTCCTTGGGGGGCGCATTGAACTTTGGTCAGAATGCTAGATCAGTTGTTCTAAGTCCACCTGCCTATAGAACTTTTAACTGAATTTCTATGAAACTGTTCATGATGGGCTACAAAAGGAATGATCACAATAGATGAGTTACACTTACATGGTGGCACACAGTCAGTGAATGTTTCACCCCACAGTTTGTAACACGTCACCTTTATCACAGTGGCCTGTACATAATAATGAAAACATCCTAATGGTTGATAACAGGGTCCTCATTTAACTCATTTACAGGCATTGGTACTGATGACACAAGATTTTTGTTTGTTTGTTATTTAACGCTGCACTCAGCAATATTCCAGCTATATGACGGCAGTCTGTAACATAATTGAGTCTGGACCAGACAATCCATTGATTGACATCATGAGCATCAGTCCACGTAATTGGGATCGATGACATGCATCAGCCAAGTCAGCAAGCCTGACCACCCGATCCCGTTAGTCGCCTTTTACGACAAGCATAGTTGCCTTTTACAGCAAGTATGGGTTGCTGAGGACCTCTTCTTCCCCGGATCTTCACGGGTCAATGACACAAGAAACCTCACTGGAGTCGCACATCTGTCAACGCACATAATTAACTATTATCCCAGTCAATGGAAGAACCATGTGTTCAAATGTTTATTCTCATCTCCCTTGGGTGTCATCAGCCCAAAGTGTTTGTCAGGTGTGAGGTTTACATTTCCATCTTGTTGTGCTAGGTACCCAATTGTTGGCCTAAACACATTTTGCAACTTGGTGTTTCAGTGTGAAGACCTCAAATTTGAGGGTCCAGCTGTCCACACATGTCTACACATCAATCCACTTTCCACAACCTGTGTTTCAAACTTCAGCTGACTTGTGACGTTATTTTTCCAATTTAAGACCTCCTAAAACAATACTCCCGATAAGGTCTCAATTTTGTCACAATAAGAACACATTATCAAAATGGTATATGCATTTATTCAGTAATGAAGCTATGAAATTTTCAAGTAGCAGCTAAAATAGCATTTACCTATAGGAGCATTTCTTTCATTTGTGTTAATATCTAACATAACTAAAATTTACATATTCCATAATAATTCAGATAATCAATAACCAATACATACAGTAATGTGAGCGAGACTTGGCATTGAAGAGTTCATACAACTTTTTGACTCAAGTATGGAAGATTTCAATTACATTAAATTTGAATCCAGACAACTCAGTGGCGAAGTTAGAAAGTTCACCTGACATGAGCTATAGGTTTGTCACGTCTTTACAGAGATAGGTATGAAATCATACTTAAAGATCTATTAATGAGATTGGGAAGATTTCTGTAGGGATTATGAAATGTAGCAGTGAATGAAATATGGTTTTCTGAGTTTTAATAGGACAGAGACTGGGGAATCAGAGTCTTCCACCAGAAGGCTTGGTGCCATTACTACTTGAACTGAAAACTCTTGAATCAAATCCATTGGAATGAACCAGTCATGGCTTTGTGATAACAACGTAAACCGTTCCAATCTGGAAATGCAGACATGCTTAACATCCATACAATACACAATGAGAAATAGTCTTTCATGGCATCACCATTGCCAGCATTAGATTCGATTCTGTTGAACCGATTTTAAGGACCGGAGATAAGAAAATATTGCTGAAACATTGGGGAGTTTGTTGAGGTTAACACTGTTTAAAACAGTATTTCAGTGATATCACATCATGTGTTACAGGCATTCACTGTTTTCCACTTCTGAGAAACAGATCAGTTTGTTGCTGACTGACCAGGGATCTGGGATTCAAACCCACCATCTGTGGATCCTGGGCAGCTGTCCCCTTACAAACAATGCTGTGTTGCTGTTTATTCCATACAGATGACATACGACCCGTGAAGATCCGGGGTAGAATAGGTCTTCAACAACCCATGCTTGCCGTAAAAGGCGACTATGCTTGTCGTAAAAGGTGACTAGCAGGTTCAGGTGGTCGGGCTAGCTGACTTGGTTGATGCATGTCATCGATCCCAATTGCGTGGATCGGTGCTCATGATATTAATCACTGGATTGTTTACAGACCGCCGTCATATTGCTGAGTGTGGCGTTAAACAACAAACCAACCAACCAACATATGACATCCACAAGGAAACACTCAATACTTTTCATGTCAAACTTGGGTATCTAAAAAAAATATTTCCAAGTAAAACATGGAAAGTTTACCCACAGCCTTGATTACACTCCACTGATACTGATCAGACAAGGTAGATACCCCACACACATACCAGCATACATTAAAAGGCGAGGAGGCATTGTGTGTGCCTTCGAGGGAGACTGATGAATTTTACCATAGTTCAATCCTTCAAGGGTATGTCATCAGGGACTGAACTGGTACATTAAAACATTTTTTGGATGCATTTATATCATCTGGGCTATGTATATCCAGGGTTGAGAAAGGAGATTTTCCTTTTCATCTGAAAATTATTTGAAATGGAGCACGGTCCATAAATTGGGGGTGTTAATGAAGGAAGTCAACATATTCTCACCCCTGTACATGTCTGCCTTCTTTTCTGCCTTCTAATAATAAGTCCAGTGAATATCACACATTCAAGACTTGCATTAACTGGCTAATGGATTGACAGCACATTGGATATTCTTATGAATGATCCTACAAGTTGTGATATAAATCCTGTAACATGATCGGTCAGTATTCCCACATAGCAATATAAAGAACACATGTTGGCTGAGTGGCGCCATCATACAAGATATGCCAAGTAAAGTATGTGGTTACATTGATATCAGACAACCGGATCTTATCATCTTAGCAGGGTATGTAAAAGCAGTAACTTTTGTATTACAAATATAAACATGTCTGTATAATACTGTCGTCTTTGTAGAAAAATGTTGTATTAATGAACTTAATCACTCTTATACTCCTGTATTTATGTCCGGGCATAATCATCTCCACCATGTACAGTTAACAGAAAAAAATTCTAATTTGAAGAAACTTAATAAAAATGTTTGTGCAAGATGCAAATGCTGTGACTTGAACGTAAATATGTGATTTGATTATGTTATGCTTTACATAATAACAAAAGATTATTTTCCGATGGAATGATGCTTTGAATTTCAAATGCTTTTCCAGTATTCCCAAATCCTTCTCAATGCCGATTATCTCCCTTTGACCAACAAATGTGCTAAAAGCTCTTTAGCATTGACATCATTGCCCCTGTGATCTACCATTGAATATTTACAGATTTAGGTGCAGTATAAACAATGTGTTATTTTAAGTATACCAGACTGAACCTAGTACCTAGTTTGGGCTCTCAGTAAAATGTGTATCCAAAACTTGCACATTGTTGTGGCAGACAGTACTTTGTACTTGTGTTCATGTTCCCGAAAATATTTTGCAACAGTAAAATATTGCACTTTAGAAACCTACAGAGATTGATTAATAAATATGTTGTTGTTCTATACAAATTAAACCATAGTATCTTACACATTCACATTTTTGGTATACCCCTTTCTCTGAAATTGTACTTGGCACACTTAAAATCTTTCAAAAATAAATAAAGGATTAACAAACAAACTGATCATACATGAAAGCATAATTGCACAATTAACTGCAAACATTTTATGCACAATTAACTGCATACATTTTATGCACAATTTTCAAACATAAAAATCTTTGTACATAAAGAAAATCTTATTAAATTTCATTTACAGAAAGAACACGATTGCACCCTCTTCAAAAGCCAAGATTTATGAAAGTTGAGAAAACTTTATGAATGGTTATTTTGTCTGTGGCAAGTGTGTCGAAGTGAGAGTCCCAGCGTGGGCTGGTCAGGATTAGATTTGTCACACATACACTGAAAGATGCCTCTATCACTGAGCTTGTGGCCTCCTCGACAAGGCCGCCATCAAATCATTCTTTAATGCCTCCTGTTGTCCCTGGTCTGGAATGGGCATAATAGATCGAACACCATTCACAATGTCCCTTGTTTTTCCGAAATAAATTTCATTTAATGTGTTCCTAATCTTGTTTTCCATATCCTGAAAGATTAAAACAAAGGGAAGGTGAATTAATGTGAATCAATGTGAATCAATGTGAATCAAAGTGAATCAAAGTAAATCAAAGTTAATCAAGGGAATTAAGAGAATCAAATGCGATCTGGGAATAGAATATATGTATATACATAGAAGAAATTACAACTGACAAAACACTGACTTATCCTACTGATGATATCAAGTTGAGTAAATGTGCTCAGACAACAAAAATAATGGTTGGAAATCTCTATGTGTTTTGGAATGCCTGTTGTTATTCTCAAGTATGTTATGACAGCTGAATCATTGAGGAAAGGTGCCAGGCATTTCAATCTTCCATTAACAACTAAAGCAGAAACAAGTTCTTCAGTGTGGAAGGACAAATATATATGACACTGTAAACTCACCTCGACTAATCTACCAATGTTGACAATATGTGGGGATGCATCGCTAACAGAGGCGTCTTGTTCTACCTGAAACAGGAGGACATCATTCACACATTATTCACGATTGAAGAGTTTGGAGTTCCACTTTCACTAAAACATCCCTGTGGAGAGTTCCAAGAACAATCCATCCCAAAATCTAGAACAATCATCGCCACATTAAGCACCCTTCTAGACCCATATGCAAGTATTTAGTAATGTTAAGAAGCACCACATGTTGAGCCTGAAAATTAACACGACCAGTGCCACACATAAGCAGTGTATTTGTGTAAAATACCCCCAAACTATTTAAAACCCAATTACTTTAATTAACTTCCGTATAGAAACGCATGCATTAAATGGAAAACTCAACTGTTTGAAAATAACACATGTTAATACCCAATGAAGCATTTTCAGCATGCGTACAACGGAGCTAATATCTACAATTAAGAGCTAATTTACTTTTCGAGTCAAGCCTATATTTATGAACTGTTATATACAACTAAATCATTATTTCATATTTTTTTAAATCTCAAAATGCTTACTCATTTGGGGAAAAAACCCAATAGAGTGATGAATAGATGAGTGAAAAAATATTGGTTACCCAATGAAAATTGTAATAACCAAATTAAAATAGAAACTTTCAAGTAAAAACTCAATTGCTCAAAAAGTTATCTCGAGGTCTGACGACAATCTCTATTTTCTTGTGGAGAATAGTATTACTACAGTAAATACGGCTGTGTAGGAGTGTTCATCATGCATGCAGACATTGAGGTCAGGAATATCAAGACAACACATCTTCCAGGTGGTTTCTGCTTGGGCCGCTTTCATGTACACAAAGGGACATAACTCCATAATCAATCAAGCAATTTCTAACCATCTGGATTAGATGAGGTGAGGTGAGGTGAAATGGGGTTTAACGTCGCGTCCAAGATTATTGCACTTATATAGCGACGTGTATGTACGTGTGTGTGTGGCTGCTTGTACTTTTCCGGACTGATGCTGATTTATAGTGCTAGCTCAGTGAGATACCATGCCGCAGTTTAACATGAATACCCCACTCAGACACAGTATACTGACTTGGAGCCGACCAGTCCTTGTTTTAGCCCCTTAATGCCGAGCGCCAGACAGGGTAACAACAAGTACCATCTTTTAACGTCTTTTGGTATGATGCGGTCGGGGATCGAACCAATGACCTTCCGCTTTCCGGGCGGACGCTCTACCACTAGACCACGGAGCCATCTGGATTAATGAGTTTTACCATGTCATGCTACTAGAACTGTTATATGTACCTGTCTGGTGAGGCTACCACCAAGATTCATGGTCCCTGAGCTCTCCTTGTTCGTTTGTAGCCACAACATCACAGTCGATGTCAGTTTATAATGGGCACTTTTGCCACTTGATTTTTCCTAGAGCGAGAACATACAAAAGTCCAATGACGAACATGCACGAAAACATTATACAGCATTAATGGTACATGTATTACACGATCTACATCACATACATTATAATGATAAACAATAAGTTCAATGCAAGAAAGGTTGATATTGGCCCAGCCAATCTGGCGACTGACATGGTGAACAACAATCTACTAGGTCAGGGTACGATGGCATGCAAGTCACCGAGACAATTTATCAACCAGTGTTGGTTGCTGGGTGCTATTTCTAACCCAGAATCCCATTGTTAATTTCCCATGTGAGCTACCTGAACTTCTATGACGTGGATGGAATCCCAACAGCCCTTAATTTTCTTGGATCCATCACCAGCTTTCTTGATGAGGACCACGCCCGCAAAACCATGGTCCAGGTCCCATAGATACACTGAGGAAACTCCACCCTCAAAGTACCTAGACATGCAATACAGAAGATCAGTCAAGACTAAACAATGCAAAGATAGTCATCATTTTCATAATCAACAAAGCCAGCATGATTTTAATGAATATAATAACAAGATGTGTCCCGATTTATAACTCTGCAATTTTGCAGCTATTCACCAAATACCAAATTACCTACTCAAGAATCTCCCTACAGATAATCTGTCCTGTATGAATGGTTGATGAAAGGGTCAGCACTGCCACCACAATTCCATGACTCAGGACAGATAATCTGTAATTGCTTGAAGATTGTTAATTAATCCCGAATTCTTACATTTCTCTGAATTGGTCAAAAGCGTTGTTAGCCTCTATCTCCAGCTTCCGTAGCCTGTCTGAGGGCATGGTGCCATCATCGAGGGGAGGGTCGTATGTGTTGCTCCATGGAGATCTGGAAACATAGGAAAACTAAAAGCAATGTTGTAATGAAGCATTAAGTAAAGTGATCCTATCTAAACTCTTTAATGTTAGAATTTAAATTCTTATGGGTCAATCAATTCAAACACCATAGAACACCTCAAGGACACCAGTTCCACCAAAAATTAGAACACTGAAATTAGCAAAACCAAAAGATGTGTCAGTGCACAGGTGATTTCAATATACCATATTCGGCGTAATAAGCGCCCACAGCGATATTTGCTAATATATTGGCTAGTGAACAATCCCACTAAGCACCCCTTCCGATTGATCAATGTACACAAGACTTATTTATTCGTGTATAATATGTGTGTTATATGCATCCTTAATTATAAATTAAATTCTGGAAAAATATATCGGTCATATATAAACATTTCAGGCTGTCAGCACAAACCACGAATTTTACGATCTTTCAACTCTGTTGTTTTTCACTAAAATTATATTCTTATAAGAGCCCCCTATTTCTTATTTTGAGAGCGCCCAGGGCGCTTATTATGTCGAATACAGTAAGCAGGCTTGATAACATGCATAAACTGCAATGTGGGCTTCAGTGACACTGAGTGTTCTGAATGCAAACACTTCAATAGAGGATGAATATCACTTCCTGTTCGTGTGTACATGTGGAATGTACATTTCTATGTTCCCAACCAATGTAAATATATCAAGCCTTTGAACCATGAACAGAGGCGCCAATAAATATGTAAAATATATCATCATAAATGATAAACGTGAAATGTCCATTAGAAACATCTTAGCACAAATTTGGTGTTTGTTATTTGGGATTTGCAAAATATGACTTGTTGTAATGAAACGAAAGCAGAACTGTAGTCATACAAACTGATTTATTTATCAATTTATAAAATGCAATCTTAAAAGTCCCTATGTTTTGTTACAGACTGATGATCTGCTTTTGCATAGAAATAATTTCGCATTTTTTAATCCTAGATAGATCCCTGAACTGTGTTATAAGATACTGAGGTTCATGGAACTGCAGCAGAAGCCATTGCGATGAAGAGATACCCATTTTGGCTCCCTCCTAACGACAATCAATCAAGAGTTAACAGGAACTATTAACGAACTGATACAAATAGACCATTGGAACAATCTTATCATTATCAACGATAAGTGGTGAAATCTCAGCTTATTCAGCTAGGGACAGATTTAATATTAATTTCCCCGGCCCCCTGGATTATGGGGCACCACCCACCTGTACGAGTCCCCATCGCGGTTGTAGTCACAAAGCAAGAAGTCCTTCCCCACTGTCTTGTCCCTGGCAATCTTCAAGGGCTGGTCCACAGAAGAGAGTAGGTCCTCACACAAAGCTGGCACCTACAGCAGATAGACAAAAACTTAGAGTAGGCAACTGTGCAAAGTCACAATGTAATGATGCGATCATTGCCTCAAGCCAGTCATTTGTCTACATGACGTGTTAATGTTCCGCACAAAGCAATATACTAAGCCTATACTAAGTATGGAAGTTATGATCATCTTAGCGCCAAGATCGCTTTGTGCAAGTGGGCCCTGGTTTCCTGATGCCTTGCAGAATTTCAGGCCTCTTTGAGGTGTCATATATCTGATATATTTCAATTATTCAGGCAAGAATGTTTCTGGTCAAGTTGCATCCCTGATGTTTGATCTTATTCATTGTATATCTAGGATGCTTAGTAATATATTTTTTAGGATCTTTGAACATATTTCTAGAACTACTCTTAAAAGGACCCAGTTGTCAAATATGCTGTAACAGAACTGCATCCCTTTGACATGCCAGAAACCTATGATCATGGATTAGAATCTCAGTTTTGCCCAGAATATGTGTCAAGTTTTTGGCATCACCATAACTGTCATCAGGGGCTGCACCATAGACCTGTATCAGTGAATGGGTACACGGGAATATGGGATGGTACTGTGACTGTTCTAGGGCCTCACAGGCAGCTTGGGTTGTACACTCCCCAGGGAGCTGAAAATAAAAATCTGGGTGTGGGGTGTCATGGATGAAGAATGTCACTGCCCTGTGATGTTCAACTCACCATGTCTATGAGCTCACTGAGGTTCTTTTCTATCTGCTGTGGTGGAAGTCTGCGCATCAAATCTAATGCGCAATCAAGTTGTTGCTCCGTCTGAAAAAAAAGAGATGTACATGTTACTCAGTGTTATCAAGTCTGAGAAGTCCTTTGTCATGTTTCGAGTTTAGTGTAGCAAATTTTGGAAGCAATTCATATTGGTGCCACAATACCATGAATCCCTGTTAATCTTGGATGTAAATACTTGTACACCACTGCAAGAATGTTATACAAGGTAAATCCTGACAATAAACACTCTTCCAGTGCCTTAGAGGGCACAGATCATTGACCCTTAAAGAAAAGAAGTCCCTTCAGTTTAACATTGTTTAAAGCCGCACTTAGCAATATTCCATATGACAGTGGTCTGTAAATAATCGAGACTGGACCAGACAATCCAGTCATTCACATCATGAGCATCTATCTACACAATTGGGATAGATGACATGCATCAACCAAGTAAGGGAGTCTGACCAGTGACCACCCAGTCCTGTTAGTCGACCTCTTACATCAAGAATGGGTTGCTGAAGAAAAATTCTAACCGAAATCTTCACGCAGTAGTTAAGAAGTGTAATAAAATTTGAGTCCAAGACTAGCAGTGGAAGCAGACTAGTGGCCCGTAACCTTAAGTTCACATTTGGACAAACGTGTTGCTTGTAAGCATGCACCAGAAACACTAGTCCAAACAAACAAGGCTGTCTGAGTTCACTAGACTAAACTTGGCTTGTTACATCATTTTCGGTAGATTTAAGTGTATCGCGAAGCTTGCTCGTTTTGGTTTTGCGATTTCTGGAAGGGTCAAGGGAACCTCTTCGGACCAGGCAAGGTATCGGGTGCCATGTTGTCTCACCATAAACTGGTACTTGATATCTTTTGCGTTGTGACAAGACAGGGAACCAGTTTAAATTGGCACCAATTACGTCATAATCTAACTCAGGCCTGTTTAGCTCGGAAAACGAAGGCCTCATAACGGCATGACATTTTCACACTTGTTGTGAGCTCGCTATATTGACTGTGAGAAAAATTAGTGTATATTTTCAAACACTGATACTAACTAAATCTAAAATTGCGTTTTATTTAAAACAAGAAAGTACTTGGCTTGTACACTTCCCCTTTAAGTGTAATATTGTTTGTTTGTGTGTTGTTTAAAGCCGCACTCAGCAATATTCCAGCTATATGACGGCTGTCTTTAGTTTAAATAATCAAGTCTGGACAAGACAATCCAGTAATTGACATCATGAGCATGGATCCCTGCAATTTGGATACTATGACATGCTGCCTAGCATGGCCTAGTAGCAAATAAACAAATTTGAAACATTTTTTCTTACATATACTTTGATTGCTGTTAACCATAGGAACAGAATGAAAAGACATATTTGTGACATAAAGTGATGAGAAACATTCTTTTGTCTACAACTATATGACAATTGTTGGCAGTTATGTTGTGGAACTAGTAATGCTTCTTTTGCCCTTTTATTGACCCGTGAAGATCCGGGGTAGAATAGGTCTTCAGCAACCCATGCTTGTCGTAAAAGGCGACTAATGGGATTGGGTCATCGATCCCAATTGGATCGATGCTCATGATATCAATCACTGGATTGTCTGGTCCAGACTCGATTATTTAAAGACCGCCGTCAAATAGCTGGAATATGGCTGAGTGTGTCGTTAAACCAACCAACCAACCAAATCTTTTCCCCTTTTTATCATCAGCTTGTCATGGCTACATAGAAAGAGCATTGAATCCTGCTGGTTAAAAGAATGTTAGTGGCAGCTGAGTTGACTACCAGTATCTAAGATGTTGATAAACATGGCTGACATAGAGACTAGTTAATAATACACACTTTGATAGAGGAAGTAAGTTCACATTGTTATCTGTGTTGACCAGACAAAACCAAGATGGAAAAACTAATGTGTACTTGTAAATGCAATCATATTTTACATCTGTGTGTTCGTTTGTTAGTTAAAGCTACACTCAGCAATATTCAAAAAATTCTGATCACATAACCCCATTAGAACAAGCCTCACTGAGTCAGTCTGCCTAAGTAAACTGGTTCACTGCAAAAATCTCCACATGGAAAATGTCACGAAAATATGATGGTATTGTATTGAGGTGTGTATTGACCAGCATCTTCCCGAAGCAAGAGAGTTAACTGAATTTAAAAGTCCAGTTTCCACCCTTGCCGAACTTGGCTGGAATTCCTGGGCTCAATTGTAGCGCCACCAGTGGCTATTACCAGTTATGTTCCCTCTAAGCCTCTCCTATGGACCAATCAGACTCCACCTCTCGTATCACTTGCGTTTGCTTCACCCAAAATGGTGGCTCCCAGTCAGGGCGATCTTATTAATAATCAAGATCTATATTGTGATAAAACGGGTCTTACATCGCGAAATGCATGAAATCACATGAGCACCTTGATTAAAAACATGAGAAGATTTTGTAAATAACTGCTGACATCGAGTTGGCGATGCACATGCTTTGCAAATCCTGCAATCGACCGAAATCTGCATGACAGTTTACGAACCGGATTTCGGATTTCGATTTCGATTTCGGTGATTGGACTATGCATAGACTTGTTAGTCCAGCCAAAATGTAACTCCATAATACCAGCCTAGTTCGGCAAGGGTGGAAACTGGACTTTTATAGTCAGTTAACTCTCTTGCCTCTGGAAGATGAAGTAAACTGGTTCACTGCAACAATCTCCACATGGAAAATGTCACGAAAATATGATGGTATTGTATTGAGGTGTGTATTGACCAGTGACTTTGTATCACAATGTATGATTAATAAGCTAGCTGTATCTTGACACTCAGTTGTCCATGACTGTAACATGACTTTTATTTGAGCCATGGGCACGGGTGGCCCAGTCATCTGAGGTGCCGCGATTTGCTGTGCAGAGTTGCGTCCCTTGGGCACACCAGAAACCTATGATTGTGGGTTCGAATCCTGGTTCCCCCCGACTATGTTTCTAGGTTTGTCAGCACCATTAGTGTGCTTGTGAGTTTCACAGAAGTGGTAAGCGTCTGAGACCTGCATGACTTCAAGCTTTCCTCCCACATTAAGCTGACACGCCATAATATGACTGGAATACTGTTAAAAGCGACATAAACCCAACTCACTCACTATTTCTGAGTCATTTGGTTTCATATTTTTTTTAATCCAACCAATCATTGCTTGACACAAATTATTGGAATCAATCTGAAGCCCAGCCTTTTAACTTAATTTGAAATTTTAGATTAAAAAAATATTAAACATTCTAAATCTGTAGCCCGCCATAGTTATTTTATACAGCTAGATTTTTTAAAAAGTGATTACTATTTGCAGTGTACCCGTTAACCATTAATGACCAGTTTTTTACCAGTAAAATTTGGCTAATTAATTCATGTGACTGCCAGTCCCTGTGGACTTATAAATCCTTATAAATCTTTATTCTTGAACAAAACATTGGCGATATTCCTACAAGTATATTTATTTATATTATGTATTATGTATTATTTATAAGGGAAGTCAGCTTGTCTGTTACCTTCAGCGTTTCGCCTTGTCTATTTTAGTGCAAGGAAATAACATTTTGCTTTGGTTCGAGGTTAAATATATATTTGTAGCGACTTAGTCTTGAAATACAAAAAGAAGAAGAGAAAAAAGTGACTGAACTTTGTGTGAATGATGTGTAGGTCTAACTAAGTTACTTCAGAGATGATTTCATGTTGAATGAATTAAGACCAGGTAATTTTTATACATTTTTTCAATTATTAAAAGTTGGGACTGACAAAAATTAGGAGGGTACTGGCAATTTTTACATTTGCCAATCCCCTAGGACAGTTTCAAAACTCAGCAGGAACACTGATTTGATCATGTTGAAATAACTTGTCCTGCCAGACTAAATCCTAATAATCGTATATCCTAATTCCAAAGTCAACACCTTGTGCATGACCGGTCAAGGTCACAGTGATTACCTGTACTTGACTGGGTTAGGTAATCAATCACATCAACCTACTCAAGGCAATCATCAAGTGACATACACCCATGATCATTCAGCCATGAAAACACATCAATCAAAGATGGGAGTGTTCCAGAGTTACACTTTGTTGTTTACATACATTTTGATTTTAACTAGATCGCCATGGATTATCCAGTGTAGTTACCTTTAATGCAATATATTGGAGATACATTTTGATTGAAAACTGAGCATAAAATAAGATTTGTGTTCATTTGTCATTCATACACAATTGCATACACCATTCGACATAATAAGCGCCCAGGGTGCTCTCTAAATTAGAAATAGGGGGCTCTTATTAGAATATTATTTTGGTGAAAACAACAGAGTTGAAAGATCGTAAATTTCGAGGTTTATGCTGACAGTCTGAAATGTTTATATGCAACAGATATATTTTTCCAGAATTTCTTTAATTGCCCATAATTAAGGATGCATGTAACAAACGTATTATGCACGAATAAATAGTCTTGTGTACATTTATCAATCGGGGTGATAATTGGGATTGTTCACTAGCCAATATATGAGCAAATATCGCTGTGCGCACTTATTACATCAAATACGGTACTACCAATTATAGTATCTGGATATGTTTGACTTTAGAACATACCAAATCCATCTCTGTAACAACTATGAAATGTTAACGTTATCAAAGCTAGTGACACAGGAAGTTTACTCAATGTGTGTTCACAGCAGACATCACTCTCGGTATCTTGTAGGTTACGGAATGGGACGATTGTGCCAAATGGCATCGGGATCACTCATAATTGTCCGTAGACTTCAGTCATGAGGCACCATGCCTACCCGTAATCTTTGTAAGTGTCCGTCACCTATTCGACCCTTTTCATTCAGTTCCATCACGACTGAGGCAAGACTAGGTAAAATTGCACTTAGTTTCACAGTGTGCACGTAGCTCAGTCAGTTAGCTAACAATCAGAAGGTTGCGAGTTCTTGTCTGACGGATTCTCACAAAAACTGGTTGCTGGTCTTTCAGAGAGGTGACCTATCATGACCTATGGCAGAGTTTGTCCTCATGAGAAGTTGTGGTACTGTATTCTTAATATACTCCTCTAAAACTAAGTCAAAATCATAACAAACTAAGTGAGGACGACATGGCTTGAACTGCACTGTATCATGTGTGAAAATAAGCGTAAGCTCATAAGGTCGCACACTGCTAGACAGGCACAAAACACTGCCCTAAAAATACACGTTGATAACCAAATATATATATATATATATATATATACATTTCATTTTTATTTGCTATTAACTTTGTCTAAGACCATGACGACGTATCATAAACATCAAGATATTACAATAAAAGTAAAGATCAACATGATTATGAAACATACATATTTTTCATCAAGATTACCTCATATTTCAGTAAGGGACATGACACTGAAGGACCTCATGATTAATCATGCGTATGTGTGAGAAGTGAAAAGCATGTTATGAAACAGACTTGATCATGTTGATCATTGTTTGAAAACATTATTGCAACTGACTTGGCATATTGACTGGTATCTGGATAAAAACAATTCGAGATATTTTATTTACAAATATCAATATGCTTTAGGCAATAAAGAGGAAATAATCGTCATTGGTTATCAGTTACATATACTTTGTGCGACTTATAATCAGTGCGGTAAAAGATCATGACACACCTTGTAATTCGTATGATACACAAAAAGCCGTGATACGTGAAACTACCAAATAAAAAATCAATTCACAACCTTGTAATGTCAAGAGCTCAAGCACTTCCTAGATCGGAACATAGACCATTATGCTATAAATCTTGGACTGAGTCATATCGTTTATTGACAGCTGCCCATTTGCCTATCGGGTTAAGGAACTCATACGAAACACTCACAAACGGGGGTCCCCAGAAATATGACCAAAACGACAATCTCACCAAATGTACTAATTAACAGAACACCGATGCGTAGAATAAGACTAACGCATTCTGCTTTTAACGAGTGATTATTGATGATAAGCTTCGTATTATTTCATTGCCCGCCCCTTCCGGCCGGCGAAAACACCTGCTAAAATAAAATCATGGCACCTAATATAAGTCATAATAAGCATCGGTGTTGTGAAAAAACGCCCAGATACCCTGGCAAAGTATTTCAGACAGTCTTACCATTGTTGAGCTGTATGTCAAGGTAGACTTGCAAACCCGTTACGAATCAGGAAGCAATGGTCAGCTCCGCACTACCTCCAAAATGGCGTCAATATCCGGGCAATTCGGTTCGGGATTCCCCTGGAATGCTTCGGGCATCTCCGTGTACTGCACGAAATCATCCGAATGGGGCTTTTCCAGAAAATTGGCCAATGAAAATGAGCGTAGTATTTATTTCCATTTTTGGAAAGGAAATTACTGTACTATTTTCCCATCACTAATGATGCATGGTCAAGCAGGTGCGAGCTGGAAGTTTCAGTCGAACATATTTTCTAACATGACATATCAGCCCACTTTTAATAATCTTAAACGAGAAATGTAAATAAGAAAATGTTTTATTTACCCTTCTCAACTATATCCTCGAATAATTAATGAAAATGTAACTTGATAAATAACCTATGTCGCTTCACGATATTTTATCACTCATATATCACAATTCAAAACAATTTGCTGGTTCTGGGGATATTTTCTATCACTTTTTTTTCCTTTTGGTAGGATGTTTTGTTTTTGTTTAACCAAATGCGTGAAGATACAGTGTAAATAGTTGTAACATAAGTACTATATATCATATTTCTTACATATTTTCGTTCCGTTCTGTGAACACAAGGTAAATACATCGCAAGAACATTTTACTTTACATATATGAGAATCTCTTTTCATTTCCGTGATTGACATCTCGTATTTTTTTCCTTATGTAGATTATGGAGAAATGACAGGCACACGTGTCACGTGATTTCCGGTTTAAGATAAACATAGCACTTTCTTACCCTGAGGTGTTCGACCTGATTAATTTTCAAACTATTCCATCGATTTCACCAAGAGGGCGGGGCTCTGGATAAGGGATTTATACTATAGTGTTTTAGGTAAGAGAAACAAACGCAATATTGCAAATATGACTTTGTGAATGAACCAATGACGGGTATTTTGGCTGAAGGATGTCGAGACCCCAAGTAAATACGGTCATACTGAAATTACTTTCAGGTGTCGGTAACTCTCGGGGATCTCAACACATGGTTCGCCTCCCGTGATTCACCACCCCATTGTCAGAGCCCAAATTGTCAGGAAAACTCTGGTTGTTCAAAGACGTGGTCGACATTGACCTTCATGTATGTAAATTATCAGTCTACTGTAATTTCATGCACATTTTACATGGATCTAGATTAATTACTGGCCTGATGGCATCACAAGGCCTTGTTAATTCTAATAATATTAACACTTTGTAGACTTCATGATATGTACTTATCGTTCCTTATATTTTGCATATTGTCATTTTGGATATTTTCCTCTATACTCTTTTAAAGGGTAACTTTTGAATGTATTTGTTTCATATTTGATGTAGTGAATATTTGACAGATAGTGAAGTAATTATCATAGATTATACGGGAAACATGGAGATTGCCTGGAGCTTAGAGCTTTAGACATGGGAATGCTACAAGTCTGGTATGACAATCAATGTCGGTACAGACTAGTTTCAATACTTTGATGTATTCATGCACAGTCCCAACATGTATTGTGTAATTTTGAAGGTATTTATATGAATAGTGTAGCCACACCATCTTCTGTATATGTCCTCATCAATTCCTGACATATTATTGTTAGATGTACATTTACTTAAGGATTGTGAAATGAATGAATAAAAGCAAGTTTTATTAACTAACTGTGGGACTTTATTTCACATTCTCAGAGTGTAAAATGTGTAGGCCTACATGTATTAGGATCCTGTGAAGATCCCAGGTTAGAATTGGTCATAGCAACCCATGCTTGTTCTAAGAGGCAACAGATGGGCTCGGGTGGGCATGCTTGCTGACTTGTTTGATGCATGTCATTGTATCCCAATTGTGAAGATCTATGCTCATGATGTCAATCACTTGATTGTCTGGTCCAGACTTGATTATTTACAGACCGCCCTCATATAGCTGGAATATTGCTGAGTGAAGCATAAAGAACAAACACAAACAAACACACAAACATGTATTAAGCCAGTTAAAAACGTCTTGATCCTTGTGACTTTTCACAAACTGACTGGGTATTGAGGGATGATTTTGTGGTTTTGCTGATTTTAGTTCATTATATCCGTCAGTTCACTATAAGCATGTTCGTTATAAACATAGTTTACTGTACTTACATTTTCTATTCAATGTGTTTATTAATTAAATTCAGGCTCATGAATAACATGAGCACAGGTTGGAAGCTGGTGCAAAACAGTGTTTCTTGATATTGCTTTAAAAATAGCTATAATGTCTCTCGTACATGTCTTAAGAAATGACAAAGTTATTCAAAACCTGAGGTGATCTTGCAGGTACCTTTTTGTCTTAGCTCACCTGACTGAAAGTGGAGCATTGTCTGACATTTGTTGTTAACCAACATCTCTGAAGCTGCAATAAATGCCTATGCAGCTCAAACTTTGTATGAATTGTCCCAGTTATGATGCTTCCAGATTTCCAGTCCAATTTTTAAACATGGTTGCCATTGCGGCCAGATTAATAATGTCAATTTTTGCCATAACATTTCTTCATAGTCGCCTTTTACGGCAAGTATGGGTTGCTGAAGACCAATTCTACCCCGGAATCTTCACGGGTCGAAACTTTGAATGACTGATCCCAGTAGTCCTGCACCATGACTGTGGAATTTATATTTATATATAAGTATTTTGTTTACTAAAAGCTTCAGCAAGTCTAGATCAAACTAACCAAGTCTTGTTTTAGATTTTAAAGACATGTTTTCATTGACAAAGTGTTAGTCTAGATCCCAGGTACTGAGTCTAAAACTAAAAAATGTGCCTGCAGAATCCGATCCGATTTAAAATATGACTGTCATATCCCTACTTTTTCTGTATGTATCATCATGAAATTATGCAATAAGTATGAGGTTTTCAGAATAACAATGATATCATGTAATTTTTTGGCATATTTGGGTTTTGATCAATCAGCAACCTTTGACCTGCACCATGTTTATGTTCCCCACGTGTCTAGTGTCCTTTTTAGCATCTCTGAAACTTCAGGGTGTATGGAGCTATAACTTTACTTGAATGATCTCAGGTGAGATGTCTCAACATAATTCCGTTTTGATTTAAAGCATAGCCACAATTATTACTTCCTAATTCAAGGAAACTTCAGCATGTTCAGAGACTGTTATTGATTTTTAAAAAATATGTTGTGTAACAGTCATTGTATGCCATCTTGGAGTCAATTACTGTGACACGTCTTGTATAAACCTTCTTCCACCTGTGACAGCTTGCTGAACTCTCTAATAGAATAATTCAATCATTTGGGCATTACTGGATCAAGAATATATTGAACACTCCTGAAATATCACTTAAGTATTCTTGTATTATTCACACATATTGATGTAATGAATTTGTCCCTGAAGTAATACACAAAGAAATACATCTAGCTAGACCAAGTTCAGTTCTAGTTTTACCATGTTGTACAGATTAACATGCTTAACTTAGTCAATATGCCAAGAACAAGAAGTGAAATATAGGTTGGCAGGAAATGTCTTGATATGAGGTTCATTTCCTAAATTACAGCCTCCGTGGTCTAGTGGTAGAGCGTCCACCCAGAGAACGGAAGGTCGGGAGTTTGATCCCTGGTACTTGTTATTAACCTGCCTGTCAATCGGCATTAAGGGGCTGAAACAAGGACTGGTCGGCTCGGAGTCAGTATACTGGAATATTGCTGAGTGCAGCGTTTAACAACAAACACAACAATCCCACATTAAGCTGTCGTGAAAAGTATGAAATACAATCAAAGTTGGCATTTAACCCAACTCACCCTGATAGCTGTCAATAATGTTCCAATAGCTGAAGGAGAAATATTTTTTAAAAGATTATTCTTCCGTCTGATTTACACATTTCTGTAGCAACATACATGGAACAGTCATTGAAATAAAAAATATTGATTTACATGCTTTAAATAAACAAAACTGGATTAATCACATGCCTAGATTACCTCAATCTCATTAAAATCGGATACAAGTTCTCGCTACCGCTGAGGACATTCCATTACAGGTAACGTCAGAACGTGGGCTGACCAATGAAATTACTAACAGGAATTCGTCATTAGCCACTAAGAAAGCAGCTTTCTTAAGCATTGCGGCACCAGTTTCAAATTAGCAACTTCCATTCATGACTATGCTTTAAAAAGTATTTTGAATCAGTCCGTAACAGTTGTTTTGTGTTAAACATGATGTTGCATGATTAGAAAACATATTCTGCTAACAATTAACACAACAATATGAATATTTCATTTTTCATTACATGTTCATGTCGTTATCTGCAGTTTAGTTGTCCAATTTTCGATCACGAACAGTTGATACGACCTAATTTTGTTTATCCGACATACTCATTAATCCGACATAATCATATGCAACCAACAATGTCAGATTAACGGGACTTGACTGTACAGATATATTGTCCCACTAACACATTGTGTCTCACATGGATAGATTGTGTTTCCTGCTGAAACATTGTGTCTCTCATTAATACATTGTGTCGGTTAAATCAAAATAATTGAATATGAGTGAGCAAATATTGCTCAACACCGCTTCAGCAAATTTACGGTATTCTTGGCGAGTTACAACCAATGAGTTAAATGATTTTCAAAGACCCTTGAAATACCATGATTACAAACCCACTTATTTTTAAATGTACAAAGATCTCTTGAAATGCAAGTGTAAACAGTACAACTGACAAGTAAGGATTTCAAACCTAAAATCACCACTCACAACATTTAATTTTTACTTCCTTTTTTTAACTTCATAACTCTAAAGTTTAAGAGTCTTTAAGAAAAAAAGCAGTAAAAAGTAAAAAAAGTTGTTTGGCCTAATGAACACACAGATAATCTAATCCTGTCAGATAAGATACATGAGCACCTGACAAGACTCATCCTTACTTATCATTCATGATCATTCATAAACATGGTTGTTGTGGTAGTCCGTCCAGGATGCTGGGAGGATGCCAAAACTGTTTGGCACAGGGTAATGGAAGCATCTATTGATCGTGGACTATGAAACTGTCTGTTTCCGTAGCTCATGGTGACCAGTTGAGTTTTTGTGATGAAGTGGCAGAGGATTCTGTTTTAC